TTTTGCTCTTACTGTTAGGTATTTGATTCATTTTAAGCTAAGTTTTGTGTATGTTGTGAGATAGTCCAGCTTCATTCCTTTGCATGTGGGTATCCAGTTGTTCTGCCACCACTTATTGATAAGTAATAAAATTCATCTTCAGACAAATGTTTACCATGTGGCTCAAAGTGGTAAACATTGACACTATGTAAAAGATATAGTTTGCAGTGTGCAAAAATGACTCTTACCATCCTGCTCCATAGCAAACGCTTAAGTTGCCTTAATGACATCATCCCACCAGAGCCCCCCAAAGGTTTGTTTGTTTGTTTGTTTGTTTTTCTGTGTGTGTATTTGAGGGCACTAGTGTAGATATGGAGAATGAGTGGATTTTAAAATTCACACAAAACCTTTACTTATTGGGTGAACAGTTTGTGTCAGGCATTGTACTATGCACTGGAAAAGTAAAGACAGGCCTGCTGCAGAATGGAGTTCCAGTAAATAACTGTTAAAGGATGGGAGATAGATTGGAAAGAAGATATAGTCCCTGCTTTCTATAAAGGTACAGAAAAATATAATATAATATGAAAGGCTTTGACTGAAGCATGATATGTAAAGCAGGCTAGAAACACAGGAAATTGAATATATTGTTAATCCATCTGATTAAAATAGAATTGAAGTGGAAAGCACCTTGCAGATTAGCTGGTGATGTTGCTTGAGTTTTGTGTTATTATAGAAATCTTTAAAAAATTGATTACAGACATGTGTTTCTCATCTTGTGACTTCTGTTCATTCACTCGGGCAGACTAGATTTTGTGCCTTCATTACAGAGGAGACAGCTTAGAAAATCAGAGATCTAGTTTCTCTCTAGTGTTTATGGTATACTTTGCTAGTAAATAGCTGTTAGTAAAAACACAGCAGTTTTTAAAATTCAATTACTATTTATTTCCTTTTACAACTTTTTCCAAGCTCCTCCTCATCTTTCCTATATGGGGAGAAGGAATAAATAAAGGCTATTTATGTTTGTTTTTTTGTTTGTTAGCTCATATGAAACTCTTATTTAGTTTTTTAGACTGCATAAGACTAGGTAAATCATATGATATCAAGAAACTTGATCCCAGAAGATTAATGCAATTGAATTTTTTTGCCTAATATGTAGTTTATCAACTTAGAAAATAATATTAACTTTTTAAAAATTATTCATTTTCTGAATGGCAATCAGTATTTATGAGGTCATCTAGATATGAGCATCAAGATCTTGGACATTCTGAAAAATCACATTATGCATTGTGATTTTTAGGCTCACAAAGAAAACATACACTGTATTAAACCTGCCTTCTATTTCCTGTGAGGCAAAGAATCATAGTTTTCACTGTCACTGAATGACTATGAAATTTGTTGGTGATAATACAAGCACAGTCGCAACCTGTCCTGACAAGTTTGTACTATTGTACATTTGTAAGGAAATCAATAGCCCCATTCTATTTCCATGTATTGTATTTCACACAGGTTATAAACAAAGAGAAAATCCAAGTCTTTATTGGCTGAGAACAGATTCTTTAATATGGGAATTTGTTTAAAAGTTGCGATTGGCCCATTGTTTTGCTATACTTTTGAACAAAAGAAGGAGATTTGGGAATTTTGAAAGAATTAATACCTAAATTTATACATTAAGCCCTTGTTATATTGGCAACTCTTACGACATTACTTACAAGAGGAATGAATCCTCTGAATTCTGAATGTATAATGTAGGTAATGTTTATTTTTTTGCAAATCCAGGGCGAGTCTTTGGTGGACACTCACCGTGAGAATATCAGAACTAGAAGGTACCTAGGAAGCTGTGCAGTTCATATTTTTTCATTTTCTAGGCGAGGCGGTGGAGGCCTAGAAAAGGGGCTGGACTGCCTTGAGCTGCATAGCTCCTTAGTGGTAGAGTAAGTCTCCATACAAACAATAGGATCTCAAATAAATATAATGTTCTGCCTGTAGTTTGATTTCATTCTCTTGGATATGAATTCACTAGATGAAGTGGATACACTCCATTTGACTCCTCCTGCATCTGAAAATTTTGTAACTAAGAAAACAAAGTCTAATTACTGTGTATACAAATGATCCTCTCTATTCAAGCTAAATAAAAGCTCACTTACCAAAAATTTAAGGTCCTGTGTAACAGAGTACCTGAATTATATTTATATAATTCCTAGAAAAGAAAAAAAGTCCTCTTTTTTTCATTACAGCATGAAAAGCTATTTGAAAAGCATCTTTACAGAAGAAAATTTGTCTCCCCTCTTTGATAATCCATTCTCAAATTTAAGAACCATCACAGTCAGAAAGATTTCCTTATATCAGAAGGTTTCATATTTGGGTTCCATGAATCCCTAAGGAATCCATATTATGCAGGTTTCTGAACCCCCTGAAATTATGTGCATATTTAGTTCACAGCTTTTGTAAATTTCTTGAAGAACCGCTGCCCAAGGTCAGCCTGGATTCTCAGTCTCCAGTTTACTAGTTTCTTTTTGTCTTATCTTCCTTGGAAGATACTTCCTGTCCTCCATATTATAACTGCATTAATTTGGAAGTTATTAATGTTTCCAAATGAAGAATTTCAGATCAGTTTAACTTTTCTCATAGGCTCTTTTGTTCTTCCACATTTTAAATCATTTTTATGGCTGTCTTTGGAACTCTTTCCAAATTTTTTATAAACCTGAAAGTCAAGGAGCTCAAAATTAGAAATTATATATTAATGAAGATCTAGTTTAGGAGCTTGGATCCCCTGACAGTGAGGGGTTTCAGAGGGTTAGGGGCAGCAGAAGTAAGACTGCTGAGATGGGTCCAGGAATGCCTCCTCACCCCACACCCCACTAAGGCTGAGCAGACAGACCTTCAGCCTCAAAAGAGACAGAGGGTAAGGGCCCAGGTAAAGCTTAAAAGGATTATGGGTACATTTCAAAGCTCAAAGCATAGTAAACAGATCCTGAATAAAGGAGTCAGAATAGTGAGCAGGAAACAAGTCCAGACCTGAAGGTGAAACAGAATCCCACGGAAAATCTGTGTATGAACAGACTGCCACCTTTCTTAGTAAAAATTGATCCAATCAATCTTCCAGCATTGAGACTTCACTTGGGGCGGGTGCTTGTCTTCCAGATTTCCCTTTTCCAGTAACCTTTGCAGTCACACCAGCCTCCAGATGTTAGATTCCTGAGAGTTAAGTTCCCAAGAGGTGTGACTAATGCAAACAGTGGGATGAGGTTTACAAGCTGTAATATATGAAGTTGGTTATCAAAACGACTGGGGTTGGCAGGGATTACAGACAATTATGGGTCTCTGATGAACCTGTGGTTGGGCTTTCTCTCCAGAGGAAGGCACCAGACACATATTTTACAAATAACTTTATACACTTTAACCTGCCCTGAAACTGATTCATGGTTAATAACTCCTGGTCAAGAAATGTTGTAGTCTATATTTCTTATCTGTTTGTTTCCTGTCCTTTTATTAATGTTTTAAATAATTGTTTCAGTTGCTATCTGAGCTGAGCTAAGGAGGTTTAGGCATGCAGTTTCCACGTGGGAGCCAAAAGATTAATGGGGGAAACAGTAACACAGAGACCATGGCACTGGAGACAACAATAATTTGGGAGAGATCCTTGGAGGGATATGGTGAATTTGGGGGGTAAGAACTGCTCAAAGAAGTCCAGCAGTCCACCATCCCCTTCACACTGGATGATTCTACCTCGGTTCCTATGCTAGGGTCTAGGTTTTATTTTAGCAACTAAGAAGCAGTTTTTTTATGAATCATGTAATGCGATACTGATGCTGAGCCAGTTAGTCCTACATGGTTCTTTTAGCAGCATCCAGTTCCCAAGCATGACTAGCGTAGACCCTCAGGCCATAGGTGAGACCTCTGGCCAGAGAAGGGTGAGAGGGTAGAGCAGAAAGAATGGCTTTGGTAATACAGCCTGAATTTCACTCATGGCTCTTTGTGAGTATCGTTTATCTTACTCATCCATATTCACTGGCAGGCCCTCTGACTCTTATCTCGGGGTATTAAATATATAAAATGGGATTTAGAGAGTAATCATGTAGATAATTCAAGCTAAATAAAAGCTCACTTACCAAAAATTTAAGGTCCTCTGAAACAGAGTACCTGAATTATAGTTATATAATACCTAGAAAAAAGTCCTCTTTTTTTCATTACAGCAATGTGTGTGTGTGTGTGTGTGTGTGTGTGTGTGTGTATTTGAAGAAGGTATTTCAAAATCTGTAAATATTTAAATGTATAAGAATCTAGTTTCCCTCTTTTGCTTTAACTGTTTTTTTCTTCCTCTTCTTGATCTGTTCAAATCCTCTTTTCTTGAAGCCCAGTTTGGGGCCTATCCCCCTATAATACAGATAGTAGAACCTTCTCTGATGACAATTTGGAGTATAAATAAGATAATCCAGTTCTGCCTTTAGCACAGGACCTAGCACATAATAAGCAACAGGTATGTTAGCTGAAAAGGACGGTAGTGGTTATGATAATGCTTTTCCCAAATACTCTGGTCAGCATTTGACCTTATTCTCAGACCATAAAAAATATTTACTTTCGCCCTGGCCAGGTGTTTCAGTTGGTTGGAGCATCGCCCCATACACCAAAAAGGTTGCAGCTTTCATTTCTGGTCAGGACACATACCTAGGTTGAGGGTTTGATCCCCAGTTGGGGCACATACAGGAGGCAACTGATTGATGTTTCTCTCATCATATTGATATTCTCTCTTTCTCTCTCTCTCTCTCTCTCTCTCTCGCTCTCGCTCTCGCTCTCTCTCTAACATATCCTTGGATGAGGATTAAAAGAAAAATTACTTTCTGTACCACTTTTTGACACTTAGTATCCTGGTTTAGATGTTACTATTTTATCTCCATAATGAGATTGCAAACTTCTTCATAGACAAAGATAGGCAACATAAAACTTGCTGAATTCAATTGAAAATTGGCATTTACTTTCTTACAAGCCACATGGTCTTCATTTTGATTCTTTTTCCTCAGCAGAAAATGAAAACACTAGCAGAAAGGAGGAGGAGTGCTCCATCTCTTATCCTGGATAAAACCCTACAAAAGCGGCCTAGTACCAAGTAAGTGGAAAGCTTTGTGTTATACCTTTTGTATGTGCTACACATTTTTATGTGTGGAGTTGTTTGTTTTTTATCACAACCAGAATTTTCTGTTTAATAGTAGAAAATATGACTTCTGCTCTGAGGTTATTTAAGAAGGCCTATTCTTTTTGTGAATCATAGAGCATTTTAGAGCTGATATGTATGATCAGTTGTTTTGAAACTGATTCCAAAATGGATCTCACATCGTATAGTACACAAAAATGCAAGTTCTGCATACTGTTAAAGTTCATTTATAAAAATAATGAGAAATCAGAATACTAAAATATGAGTTTTTTAACCGCCATATATGGTTGGTGATGCATAAACCCTTGCCCCGTTCTTTATAATGAGATGATGCCTGTACATGGGCATAGGTGAATTTTACCAATGTTATATATGAAGAAAGATTAAGATTATTAAAAAATTGAATGCTGATTTCTTTTAGGCATTACTAGTTAAATTAATTAGTGGACTTATTAATGACATTTGAAGTGGAAAAACAACCTAAATATCTATTGAAATGGCCATTTGATCTGTTGGGGCTGAATACTATTTCAGTGAACCTTTTAAAGAAAATCTTTCATAATGTATAGAAATTGAATGGATAATCAATCATTAACATATTCATTGATTTTTAAATGACATTTTAACTCAGGAGTTTTATGGTCAAAGGAATCCTGTGATGATTTTCTCCTAATCTGTGAATCCTTTTATGTAAGTAGAAGTCCTTATCATCTTTTCTTAAAGTGAGGGTATATCTGATATTTCTATGACTGGTGTGCTAATTTAACATAAAATCTATGTGGAAGCATGGCAATTTTCTCAGTGCCAACAATAAATTATATAGCTAAATCCCAGTTAGTGAAATTTTTTAAATTCTTAGGTGATTCTTATACTCAGCAAGTTCTCAGACTCAGGCAGTTCCCACATGCCCCCAAAAGACACAAGCCTTGGTCATTGGTTGGTCAGAAAATATAAATTACTTTTAATGGAAGCCTCATAAAAAATTAATTAGGAAGATATTTTTCTGCCAAATAATTTAGTAATACATTTCAGTCCATATATAAATGATTTTTAGATTATTGTGTATCTTTGCATTAGTGTGGGTAAAAGACAATGGTTATATCTTCACAGTTTGTCCTTGATTACCTAGAAAATGCAGGAGAAAGTATTTTTTAAGGGAGGTAAAGAGAGGAAGCAGAAATATCAGTACAATTGTCTTTAATTCTATTATATATGTAAAAATACCTTATTTACTTTTTTTTTAAACAAACAGTTTAAGGTATAATTTCTTATTGGGAGCTTCTGGGATGGGCACGTGCTGGGCTTTTCATTTTAAAGTAGATTTCATAGCAGATAAGCTTTAGCCCGAGATCAGGGGTCAGTAGTGGCCCACCTACTGCCTCATGCAGGGTGAGAATCTATAACAATACAAGTGTAGCCCAGCTGGCGTGGCTCAGTGGATTCAGTATCGTCCCATGGACTGAAAGGTCCTGGTTCAATTATGGTCAGGGCACGTGCCTGGGTTGTGGGTTTGATCCCCAGTAGGGGGCTGCAGGAGGCAGCTGATGGATGTTTCTCTCACATTGATGCTTCTAGCTCTTTCTCCCTTCTCTCTAAAAAAACTCAATAAAAACATATTAAAAAAAAAAAGATACAAGTGTAGGCACTGAAAGCTCTTCTAGCCCAGTGGGAGGTACTAACCTCAGAGGACATTTTGAAATTTTGTGGAGCATTTGAGTTTGTCTCAGTGATTTAGCAGGCGGTGGCCAGAGATGCTAAACATCTTATAATGCACAGGACAGCCTACATAACAAAGAATTGTGTAGTTCCCGCATAACTTTTGAATGTTCCATATATGATATATATATGTGAAGGAGAAAACTTTATATAATTATCTACAACTATAATTAACTCTGTTTTATATATAAATACTGAGTGTTTCATATAGTTTCAGAAAACACTGAAATTTTCAGAAATGTAGCTACCTTGCATATCAAAAAATAATTGCATTTTGTATTGTTTGGAACCATTTCCCTTCATTTCCCTGTACTTATTGCATGGAATGGTTATCATCATCCTATTTCTCTTATATTTAAATGAATTAATTATAAATAGGTATAAACATCTGACTACTTCACTATCTTTTACTATGGTCATGCCTGAGCATCTACATATTGAAATACATAATTTATTATGAATTACTTTCATTTCATTTTCCTTTATATTACCATTAGGGTATTTTATTGATACTTTTGAAATTCTTCTAAATATCTGAATCTCATTTCAAGATAGAAAAGGAGGATTTGAAATAAATATATATATATACATACATAGACTTTTATAATAAAAAGGAGGCATGTGCTTTCATAGGATTAGCAGACAACTGTTGTAGGTGAAATGCCAGGTTAGAGAAAATGCTGACGCTTACCTGACTTACTGCAACTGTTTTGAGTTAGAGAACCAGTATGATAATGTGCGACCATCTCCCGCCCTTCTCCTGTCTCCGCATCACTCATGCAATAAGTGGTGCTTACATTAGAGCCACTTCCCCAAATCCTGTCTCAGAAATATGACAGGGTTTGTGTCAAAACAACCACAGATAAAAAAGTGTGTTTAAGTTGAAGTTTTCTATGTTTTCGTCTTCAGTTTATTTCCTATGAGTTTCTCTGGGTCAGTAATATGAGTGCACAGTGCTGGGGAATAGGACCATTACCTGTCTTATAGAAATAATGCTTTTCCTCTATGTAGTGTTGGTCGTTAACGTATGTGCCCACCCTCCACCCCACCACTAAAAAAAAAAAAACTGTTGGGTGTTGAATGTATATAAAATATTTGCAAGTAAAGTAATCCCAGGATTGGAAAGAAGCTAAAGGTCATCTAGTCCAGTGGTTTCCAAACCTAGGTCAGTATTTGCAGTGGGACCCAGGCATGTTTTTCAGAACCTCTTCATAATTTAAAAAAAAAAAAAGGCCTTGCCCTGGCCGGTTTGGCTCAGCGGTTGGAGCATCGGCCTGCAGTCCAGAGAGACCCGGGTTCGGTTTCCGCTAAGTTGCAGTTTGTCCCCAGCCCTGGTTGGTCGTGCGGGTGGCAGCCACTCAATGTGTCCCTTTCACGTCTATGTTTTTCTCTCTCTCTCTCTTCTTCTCTCTCCCTCCCACTCTATCTATACAAAAAATGGAAAAATGTCCTCGGGTGAGGATAAAAAAAAAAGGCCTTATACATACCTGGTGTTCAATTATTATTTGAGGATAAAAAAAAAAAGGCCATATACATACTTGGTGTTCAATTATTATTTGTTGGATGAATTAGTGAATGAGTAAGTGACTCCATTTCCAAACCAAAATAGGAATTTAATAAGTTAAATTGGTTTCTGACTTTCCTGCCCTCCTTTAAGCAGCTAATACATACGAGATTTTTCTTTTTTATTTGTATTATTTGTGAAATTATGGCTAGGGAAAAAGGAGGATTCCCTGTAATAAAATAATTCTAAGTTATTATTAGGAAGTTATTTCATGCACCAAAATAACCACAAGAACTCGTGTGTGGTCCAGAAATAGCACATATGTTGGCATTCTTGTGGCATTTCTTCATTGTTTACTTAAGGATAAATTCAAACTTTCCCTCCAGAAGTTCACTTGTTTTGATATGGCATTCAGCCCACCTTATAGAAGTTACATAAAAATGTACCCACTTTTTCTTAAAATTATAATGTTTGCACTTTTAAGCTGCTATTCACCTATTTCCATCCTTACCTCCAAGATAGTTTCTTATGTCTGTGCTGTTTGCAAGACCTTGTGCTAGCTGCTCTAAATATATTAACCTTTTAAATCTCTGCTCCGTGCTGCTGAGAGAAGACAAGGACAGTGCTGGAGAGGTACTGTGATCCAGGAGAGAGTGCTTGGTCTTTGGCTGGCTCTCCATCCTGATGTTCTGTGTGGCCCCAGATAAATAACCAATCTCTGAGTCTGTGTTTTCCCTGTAAAATATCAATCTAATGCTTGCACTATAGAATGTGAAATGAGGAAATAGCTGAAAATGCTTAGAAGATTAGCTTAGTTATTAGTTGCCTCTTTCCTTCCCTTAGATATATTTCATTTTCAAACTTTAAACACCCTATTTCATCCAGTGAAATCAAATTTGTTCACAAAAAGCACCTACTTGATTATCACAGCATTGTATAACTAAAGTGACCCCTTGAGCCTATCTCATTATGTAGTGGAAATTGAGTCAAAGACTTGCCCTACGTCACATAGTTAATCCAGCATTAGAGACAGGATTGGAAACCTGGGTCTTTGGTCTTGATGGAATATCCTTTGCATTATACAAGCAAAAGTTGTATGATATAGTGTCTCAGAGCCTGGATTCTAGAACCAAGTTGCCAGGTTCCAATCTCAGCAGTGTGCTCTTGGGTGACTTTTCAAACCAGAGACAATAAATAAAACCTACCTCATAAGGTTGTAAGGCAGACTGAGTAGGTTTTATATATGAAGACTAGTCTGTGGTACATAATCTATGCTCTATGTATAAAGGCTATTTATTATTATTACTAGCAATAATAGCAGTATTAACAACAGACGTAGAAATACACATTATCCTGGTACAGAGATTCTTCCCATAGCAGATGGAAAGTAAAAACTATGACAGATGCCATCTGGAAGCCAGCTAGATTCTAATATTAAGTTCATTTTAGCAAGACAGTTCCATTTCTCAGTCTTGCCTGAAGCAAGATTAGCTCCGAACATTTGGATTTATTCTCGATAGATCCTGACCACTCTTGAGGTCTCCCTAGGAAGAAGTTCAAAGTATATCTAGAATGATTTGGGGAAGTAAGGGCTTGAGACATGGAGGACTGACCTGGTTTGCTTGGCCACTTGAGGTGAAGAGGTTCATAGGTGCCAAAGCCATGAACCAAGATTAGACACACAGAGAGTTTGCTGGGAAGGATGCTGGGGTGAGAGAGCCAAATCAGACGGCAT